CTGTGTTTCGGGTGTTCTCTTGGGGTCCTCTCCTGACTTCCTCAAGTACAGTGGAGGGCACAGCTGATTCCCGTACACCTCTCTTCTCTTCCAGCCTGGGCACCCCCAGGGAGTGAGTGTGAGGGCAGACTGTGCAGGCTTCCTCGTTTGGTTCAGAGTGCCACCACTTCCGCCCTGCCCCAGCAGACTGTGGGGCATGACCTTCCTAAATGTACAAGGCCTGCATAGAGAGCAACCTTCTTTCCTTAAGGCAAAGGAGAATTTGTGCTCTTAATGCCTGATCTCACACTGTATTGAATCCTCATCGTATTTTCTGTCCTAGAGGGTCTCTGCTACAATGTCCTGGGACACCTCGGTGGTTTCTCAACAAAAGCATAATCTTTAATAGAAAAATTTCCGCCTTGTACTATACATCTTAGACAGTTAGCTCCAAGTTATGGGATGGCAGACTTTTAACGCTACGAGATCATACCTCCTTTAGGAAGTGTTATTGAATGTAGTATCTTTAAAAGATATGACAGCCCTCCTTTATTTTTTACATGGTCTCCGAAATCATCATGCAGTTTATTCTCATTGACTCGGTTTTATTTAAAAACTTGGATCAGGGACACTGTTTTGTTTTGAGTGTTTTATGTAAAGTTAGACTCAATGAATGAGTCACAGTTGGGAATAATCTTGTAATCCATGGGAGTCCTTGTGAAATTCTTTTCCAAAGGCAAGTACAGTATCTCTACATGAGAAAATAGGAATCTAGTCCTTTCATTTTGCATTTTAGAGCTGATGCCAGGAGATGTTAATGTGTTGCCCAAGGCAAGGAGACATAGCGGCTTGAAGTACTCCATCTGAAATTCAAGTGTATTGATTTCCAATTTAGTGTTATTTTAAAATCTCTTAAATATTTTCACTTCTTTCTGTGTTTCTTCCTCTAACACTCAATCATCTCTCCATGAGCTTTATATTAAATATTCAGTTAAAATCAGCACGTTTTCATCGAAAACCTCGATGGTATCAGGAAGGCGACTGGGCATGGTGATGTAATACATGATCCTTGCTCTGAACAACCATGTTGTAAGTTATTGTAAGGAAAGATCAGAGAGAACTTCATGAAGGAGATGAGTTTCATTCTGCTTCTTAAAGATGGCCGGGATTTAGATCAGGGAAGAAGAGAGGAAATAACAGGCAGGAGAATGACATGAACAAGGGTACTGGGCCCAAAATTATATTCATGGAACCGAGACTAGCTTGACTGCAGTGGAAAATTTATGCAGGGGGCGTGTGGGAGAGGAGGGTGAGGTCGCTCAGGCCTGGCTTGGGGAGAGTTTTTCTTACATGCAAACTTTATCTTCTTAAGCCAAGGAGCGATAGAGCAAAATTTTTATTTTAGAAAGAAACAACTAGCACAGGTGTGTAGGATGATGACCTAGTGGTAAGGGATTTTAAAAGACTGGAGATAGACCAGTTGGGAAAATCAGAAGATGATACCACTTTGCAGGGGACTTGTAAATTTACTTTTCTAAACTTTAAAACTCTTCTCGTTATGGAAATTTTAAGCAAGTGAACAGAGAGAGACTATAATGAATTCCTCTATAATCATGAATTTTTCTGTCATTGTGATTTCATTTATCCCCTGCCACACCATAATCTCCATTTTTTAAATTGCATTTTTTACTTTGAGATTCCCATGCAGTTGTAAGAAGTAATACAGAGAGATCCCGTGTTCCCTTTTCAAATTTTCCCCTCATGGTAATACCTTGTAATATGGTAGTACAATATATCAAAACCAGATGTTGACATTGATTCAGCCAAGATACAGAGCGGTCTGTTACCATGAATATCCCTCATGCTATTTTTTTCTTAGCCATGTCCATTTTTCCCCTGACATCCCTACCTACTCTGTCTTCCTGGAAGTGGAAATCTTCCCTGTTCTTTTCATTGACCTAGAGCGTTTTAAAGTAAATCTTAGCATATCATTTAATCTGTCAATACATCATTTTGCTTCTCTCAAATATAACATTTTAGAAAGACAACCACATACTATTAGCTCACCCATTGAAATGATTAATTTCTTAAATTATTTCCCGATTGTATCAAATATATATTTTTACAGTGACTTTTTATCAAATCAGGATCCAAAGTCCACAACTGCCTTTTTGTTGACATACCTCTTAAATCTCTCTTAATCTACTATAATCCCATCTCTTATTTTTTATGCTATGTATTTATTGAATAAATTAGGTTACTTTACTGTAGTTTCTCATATTTTTATTCTGGCTGATTATATCCTCATTTGGTTTTAAAATTATTTCCCTTACTGCCCATATATTTTTTTTAATAAAATAATATTTAGATATATAGATTCAGATTTAGGTTTAATTTTTTTTTTTTTTTTTTTTGGCAAAAGGACTATTGGGTTTAATTTTTGTTTTTTTGGCAAAAGGACTACATACATGGGTGATGGTGTGTGTTTTTATGGTGTTGCTTTCAAAGGAACATTTTATTGGGTTGTTTCATTTTAGCAATGTTAAGATTGATCAGTGAGCTCAGGAGCTATTATCCTAATCCATGGATCATAAAGGTGTCCATCAGCCTTTCACCCATTGTTTTATCTAGTAAATATTATTACCTAAATCCGTTATATCATTGGGCTTGCCAAAGAGTTATTTTCAAGTTTCACTCTTCATATTTCACCTATGATTTTTCCAGAAATAAACCTTTTTTTTAATACCAGCAAGCACACGACAGATGCTTGAGTATTTGCTTTTATTTGTAAATTTTAAGAATAATTAATTGATACATTAACAAGTTGTATTATGTGGCTAAGAATGGTGGTGTTGGTAGTGCTGGTTGTTTCGACAGTACCATGAGAAATTATGAACTTACATCATCATGTGATATGTATGATGCATGATGTGTTTCAATCACTGGCATCATTATTCTTTTTATATTCATGTGTTCCATCTTTGACCTGTTAGAACCTCTTCTAGGTGGCTTCTGTCTCCATTTTTTAGGAGGCATGATGTTTTTGATAGCATCCTTGGTTTTGATAATAGCACCATGTGCCAGGCTCATCTTGTGCATTTCCTGTCCACGCCTGGAACCAGACATTTCTCTAAGGAGTCTTGGGTACTTTTAATGGGCAATGGTATTTACAGTTCACAATCTGAATGTTGTAGTCCAGATGTTTTTCATTATGCTCCTTTTTATTGTCTTCTATGTTTCGGGGTATTGTAATAAAAAGAATAAAGAGAGCTAACTTTTATATGTTAGGAAATAATTTGAGTATTTGACATTCAGTATCTCATTTTATTATCACAGTACCCTATAAGGCAGGTATTCTGTTATTCCCACCTTAAGGCTTAGGAAATGAAGAACATGGAACTCAAATAATTATTTGGGTCCATAGAGTTATTAAATAGCTTAAAGTGGCATTTGAACCCAGGAATTCTGATTCTGGAAACCAAGCTTTTAATAGTATGCCATTCTTCTCACTTACTATAGCAAGCCTTGCTCAATCAGATATCACAAACAACTTAAACTCTTCTGTTTCAGCTTCTTATCTGTGAGTACCTCATTCACAGGGTTTTCATGAGGACTGATGAGCTAAAAAAGCAAAATAGGTAAAGTATGTAGAATAGCCCCTGGCTTGTTGTAAATGCTCAGTAAACATTAGCTCTTGTCATTTTCCTTCTTGTTGACTTTCAAAGGTGCAGGGTATCGAGCAAAGCTGTCTATCAACAGATGAAAACATTGGACGGTCACGTAGGAGTCAGGACAGACGTTATTGATCCCTGAGCCCTCTGTATTACAATGAAAGAGAATGGAAAGAGGATGAGATTTCTAATGAGAGTAGAAAGAGACAGAATAGAGGCCACAACCTGCCGTCTATTCTGCTCCCAAGCGTACCTCTAAATACTACTGTAACTGTTGTATTTTACATCGTGGTGGGATTGCATGCTCGCTAGCATGATGTCTATTCCACGGCAGAGAGTGAAGTCCATTCATTTGTTGAAGAAAAGGATGGAAGAAGACTAGATGAGCATCCACACCCAGATAGTGGAAGGAGGAAGAGAATCCTGCACAGGCTATGATGGCACAGAATTTTATTATTAAAAATGGGAAGAAAATAGGGTAATCATCAATGTTAAATTCTGTAGACAGCAAAAAAATAATAAGGATTGAGAAAAGTCCTTGTGTTTGGGACCAGATCATTGATGACAATCAAGATCATAGTTTGTAGAGTATGGAGTATGGGTGAAAACCTGTTAGCTATGATGTGGAAACAGTAAGATTAGAATTCATTGGAGACCTTGGAAAATGATAGAATTTGGAAGATAGATGGAGAAAGCAGATAACATGTTTCCCCAACTTTCTGAATTTTTCTATCTATCTATCTATCTATCTATCTATCTATCTATCTATCTTTCTCTCTCTATGTCTCTCTCTGTAGATATATATGCATGTATATGTGTTTTCCATACAGCTATATATATTTCTATATTCTATAATGCTGCTTACTATGTCTCTCTCTGTAGATATATACACATGTATATGTGTTTTCCATATAGCTATATATATTTCTATATTCTATAATGCTGCTTAAAAATATGCTAAAGAAGATAATCTTAATAGTATTAAGGAAACATTTAATTAACCATACTCAAAGATGCTGTTATATGTAGTGGGAGGTCCAAAGATGAATCAGCTATTCATCTGATGTCCACAAAGGGCATACTCTCCAGTGGGGAAAATAGACA